CTTTCGTTCTCTTCCTCTTTTTTTTTTCTTTGATTTTCTTTTTTTGCTCTTTCTCTTTTGCGTTCTCTCTTTCCAGATTGTAATCCAGATTGTAATCTTTAAAATAATAAGCATTAAAACCACACAGCTGCAGACGAGATGCCTATTGCTGAGCTCAGCCTCGGTGCTGATAGGGCCGCTCTCCGACCGGTGTCGGTACCCCCGGCCCCACAGTGCTGAGTGCGGGCAGAGGACACGGGGACTGTGCTGGGGCTGCTACCCGGCCTCCTCCCTCAGCCCCCGGGCACCGCACGCCGTGGGTCGTGTTTTCCCCCTCTGCTACGGAAATCACCCGCTTCGAAACAGAGCGTATTCGATCGGTCCGAGCCGTTAGTTCGTAAAACCCAAAAGGTCTCTTTGCTGCTGTAAAACCCCCATGGAAATGCACTGAGATAGCGCTGGAATTAATCACCCTGGTGTTTGTACAAGCAGTTAATGGGGATTAGACGCGTCGTTGTGAGCCGTGGCTGTGAACCTCGGGGGCGGTGAGGAGCGGGACGCGGATTTCCCCCCCCGCAGAGGTGCGTGCGGATTTCCTTCCCTGTTCCGTTCGCTGAGCTCCGACCCTTTCACATCGTAATGAAGTGACCAACGCGTCCTCCTCCGGTGCTCACCGTGCGTGGGGCGTTCGGCAGGACCTGGGGAGCCCTGTCCCTGTTCCTATCCCTGTCTCTATCCCTGTCCCTATTCCTGTCCTTATCCCTGTCCCTATCCTTCTCCCTAACCCTATCCCTGTCCCCGGTGCCCTGTTCCCGGCTGCTGCGCGCCGCGCTGGGGCCGTAAATTGACGAGGAAACGACACCAAAAGGGAAAAAATCAGCCGGTGCTGAAGCGTGTGCACGGGACATAAAAGCAAAGGAGAAAGGTTCAAAGCTTCCCGTGATGACTTTTCAACCTTTATTTATGTGCCTATTAATGCAGTATCCATCATGGAGATATGCATCTTTATCCTTTCAACCGATATGCTGGGAATCGATTGGATGTGCAGATTACATTTCATAAGTTTCCAAACGTTAATCTCCTCGGCCCTTCGCTGGTAATTTCTTCTTTTTTCACCAGATAGTATTGAGTTTCTGCACAAAAAAAAAAAAAAAAAAAAAAAAAAAAAAAAAAAAAAAAAAAGGAAAAAAGTCTTAACACAATTAATCCTGGGACTCCTTGTGTCTAAGTACCCGCAGGGCCGGCACGGACCCTCCCGCCCCATGGCCGGGCATCGCTCCCCGCAGGCGGTCAGGGCGGTGCGGGGCGGGCGGGACCCGCACGTGTTCTCCCACGGCCGCGTCCCGCTGCGGGGCGGTGCCTCCCGGCGGCTCTGCGGGACGGGGGGACCCCGGCGAGACCCTTAGGGGGCCGAAACCGCGCGGGGATCCACAAGCAGCAGCGCGGCCCGGAGGAACTCCGATTCCTCTCTGCCCCGGCCGCGCTCCGCCTGCGGAGGTGTGTCTGAAGGGCGCTGCGCTGCTACCGCTGCCGCCGTCACCTCCCGCCGGGCCCGGAGCGGGGTCTGCACCAAGCCTGCAGCCCTCTGCAATCGGTCGCCGCTCAGCTTGATCCCTTCCCTTCCCTTCCCTTCCCTTCCCTTCCCTTCCCTTCCCTTCCCTTCCCTTCCCTTCCCTTCCCTTCCCTTCCCTTCCCTTCCCTTCCCTTCCCTTCCCTTCCCTTCCCTTCCCTTCCCTTCCCTTCCCTCCTCTCCTCTTTCTCTTCCTTTTTCTTTCTCTCTTTCTCTCCCTCTGTCTCGCTTCTCTCTCTTTTCTTTCTTCTCTTCCTTCTTCTTTTTCTTTCCCCACTGCCATTTCCCCACACACTGCCATATGTAGGTCACTCTCTTCCCAAAACTCGCTCCGAACTGCATGTAACTCGCACCCCTCCCCTCCTCACTGTAGCGAGGCGAACGTGCTCGGGGGGGGAACGGCGGCTGCTGGAGACCCACAGCGCCCGGCAGCTCGACCCTGCAGGGCAGCCCCAGCACAACACAGCTGCCCGCTCCGTGGGAGGGAAGGAGGAGGAGAGCTTTGCGAAGATCTGCAGCGGGCACCGCGTGTGACACACAAGGCCCGTGCACAGCCCCCAGAGAGGTTCTGTTATGGTGTTTGTAGTGGGGGCAGTGAGGGACAAGGGCCAGAAATAGCAGGCCCTGCTACACACTCGTTATGCTGGGAAAAACTCTTCTCTTCTCTTCTCTTCTCTTCTCTTCTCTTCTCTTCTCTTCTCTTCTCTTCTCTTCTCTTCTCTTCTCTTCTCTTCTCTTCTCTTCTCTTCTCTTCTCTTCTCTTCTCTTCTCTTCTCTTCTCTTCTCTTCTCTTCTCTTCTCTTCTCTTCTCTTCTCTTCTCTTCTCTTCTCTTCTCTTCTCTTCTCTTCCCCCTTTTCCCCTTTTTCCTCTTTTCTTTTCTTTTCTCTTTTCTTTTCTTTTCTCTTTTCTTTTCTCTTTTCTTTTCTTTTCTTTTCTTTTCTTTTCTTTTCTTTTCTTTTCTTTTCTTTTCTTTTCTTTTCTTTTCTTTTCTTTTCTTTTCTTTTCTTTTCTTTTCTTTTCTTTTCTTTTCTTTTCTTTTCTTTTTCTTTTCTTTTTTCTCTTCTTTTCCTTGCCTTGTTTGCTCTCTCTTTCTCTCTTTTTCTTCTCTCCTTTATTTCTTCCTTCTTCCTTCCTTCTTTCCTTTTCTTTTTATATATCTCTTTCTGTCCCAGTTTCTCCTCTCCTCTCCTCTCCTCTCCTCTCCTCTCCTCTCCTCTCCTCTCCTCTCCTCTCCTCTCCTCTCCTCTCCTCTCCTCTCCTCTCCTCTCCTCTCCTCTCCATTTTCACTCCTCCACTTACATCCCTACTCACAAACCCCAGCGCCTTTCTCCAACATCACCTTCCCTGGGAATAGGTCTGTGCACAATTCCCTCCGAACCCCTTATTAGAAATAAACGTATGCGCGTAAAGGCGCAAAAGAGTGTAACTGATTTGTTTCCAATGCTCTCGTTTAGAACGAACTGCCGTTGTCCCGAACAGCGCCGAGTTTCGCCGCCCATTCGATGTGCCGCAGGTTTCATACCGAGCGCTCGCTAATCCAATTAAAAGTGCACCTGGCCTGGAAGAGCTCTGTAATTAGCGGGAGCGTTTTTAGCCATTTCCACGGGAACACCGTGAAATCATCTCCGCTAGTCCAAGGACGGTCACATGGGGGTGGGGGCGAGGGGGCGAGGGGGGAGGGAGGAGCGGGGCCGGGGCCGGGGCCGGGGCCGGCTTTCGGGGCTCATCTTTTCCCTCGGATTTCAGCAGTTTCGTGCGGAGGATGCGGCCGTGTCCCTCCGCCGGTTGGTAGCGAGGGCGGCGGCCCCGGCGAGGTGGGTGCGCGGGGCGGGGTGCGGCGGAACGGGGCCGGGGGTCCGTCGGGGAAAGCGGCCACGGGATGCATCGAGTGCGGCGGGAGCGCTCCGCAGCTGCGGCGAGAGAATCGCTGCGGGGCCCGAGCTGTTGTGTTCCGCGAGCTCAAAGTGAAGCTGAAATACTTTTTTAATTTATTGATGCATTTATTTAAAAAAAATACTCCCACATCCCCGCCGAGCCCCACACGGGAGCTTTGGAACTCGGTGCCTCGATAGCACTGCGGAACGCTTCCTAGCTCCGGCCGCAGGCCGTGCCCGGGTCCCGCAGGAGCAGGGCTCGATGCTCAGACTGCCACTGTGCTCAGTAAAGGGTAGCACGGGGAGAAATAGGCTCCGATTTTCCCCGCTACACGAGCTTTTCTTACGAGCCAGTTTCGAGGCCACGGTAAAACTTTTCTCCCCTCCCTGCTTGGCTCTGATGCTCGGGAAAAGAGACCGACTCCGCTCCGAGCAGCGGCCGGGGCGGCTGAGTCCCGGGTTGCACGGGGCCGCGTCCCTCTCCGATCCGCTCCCCGCAGGGCCGGGCCTGGCAGCGCCGCACCGCCGCTGGGCCCCACGGCCCCGAAAGGAGCGCCCGAACCGCGCGGGGAAGCGGCCGCGGGCCCGGCACAAAACATTGTTTCCTTTATTTCAAAGGGGGGAACCTGAGCGACTCTCATCCCTTTGATTGATTAAGGGCCTGAATAACTCGAGGCTCGGGAGTGACAGTCGCTGAATAGAGGATTGCAAATAAAGAGCGCAGTGGAAGCCGGGCTGGCACTTCACAGCGCAGAGCCGAGTTCGCTGGCACTTCCCGAGCTGTAAATAAAGGGCCGCGCACAATGGTACCTCTCTGAGGACAGACGGCCTTTACAACACTCCTGGCGTCATGTCCTGCTGCGGTCAGCCCGGCTCCGGGCGGACGTCACCTCCTTTCTTTTTGCGGCACTTCGGGCTGAATGCTACAATAAATTCCTGGGAACAACCGCCCGTCGGTTGGTGGGGCCGAGCGGGCGCCTCGCGTACGGCACAGCCGCGGGGGTGCGCGGGGCCGCCCCGTCCGTCCGTCGGTCCGTGAAAGCGGAGGTCCGCTGCGGTGCTTCCAGCCCGTCCGCGACACTGGGGCCGGAGGTGCTGCTCCCGGGCGGCGCGAACTACAGAAACAGAAGGGAGGGAGGAGGTTGTAGCGGTGTCGGAGAAGAGAAGGGCGGTCGCTCCCCCGCGTCTTCTACGCGGACAAAGCGCGCTGCGAGCCCCGGGTCGGGAGCGGGACCCCGAGGGCGAGGAGCGACGCGCGGGCCCCTCGGCCGCTCTCCCGGAGCCGTCGGGGCGCGGAGCCCCCCGGGGCCGGCGGCTCTCGGCCGGGCCGGGCCGCCCCGGGCAGCGGCGGTGCGGGAGAGTCCCCGTTCCCCGCCCAATCAGCGGGGGCGGCGCGGCCGGGCCGGGCGGCGGCGGCCAATCGCGGCGGCGCCGCAGCGGAGCCGCGCCGGGTCCGGAGCCGATAAATGGAGGCGGCCCCGCGGCCCCCACTCCCGGGACAACGCCGCCGCCGCCCGCCCGGCCCCGCCCGCCCCGCTCCTGGATCCGCGGGGTCCGGTCCGGCCCTCCCGGCGCGGGGCAGCGCGGGTCACCGACGAAGGGGCAGCAGGGAGCGGCCCTTCCCCGCCCCCGGCGGCGTCCCCTCCCCGCGTGGCGGCTCTGACGGCGCTCTCTCCCGCAGCTGCACCTGGGCAGGAGCGCGCCACGCCGCCGCGATGACCACGCTGGCCGGGGCCGTGCCCAGGATGATGCGGCCCGGAGCCGGGCAGAGCTACCCGCGCGGCGGCTTCCCGTTGGAAGGTGAGGGCGGGAGGAGGGGCGGCGGTCAGAAAGCGGGGAAAAGTTGGGGGACGGAGCGCGTGCGAAGGTCGGAAGGGGCCGCGGGAACTTCGGACCCGGGTCCCTGCCCGGCGGCACTCCCCGGTTGGGCGCAACAGGTGCCGACACGCCGCGGGGTCCGAAGGAGACGTTAACGCTGTTTCTCCTCCTCTTGTCCAGTCTCTACACCTCTCGGCCAGGGCAGAGTCAATCAGCTCGGAGGAGTGTTCATCAACGGACGGCCGCTGCCCAACCATATCCGCCACAAGATCGTGGAGATGGCGCACCACGGCATCCGGCCCTGTGTCATCTCCCGGCAGCTGCGCGTGTCCCACGGCTGCGTCTCCAAGATCCTCTGCCGCTACCAGGAGACGGGCTCCATCCGCCCGGGGGCCATCGGCGGCAGCAAACCCAAGGTGAGCCCGGCGGGCGCGAGAGGGGGCGAGGGGCCGCGCACAGGCACGGTCCTGCGCGCTGTTCCTGGCGGGTCCGCGTCTTGAAACGATTGTGGGAAAGATTTATTATTTGTGTGAAAAGAAAATCGCGTTTAAAAAAAAAAAAAAAAGAAATTATCCGAAACGAAGTGAGGGAGAAAGGGCAGCTCCGGGAGCTGTGCTGCCCGCTCGGCCCTGCTCCGCCCGCCGCCCTTTCAGCTGCTCCGCTCCTTCCGTGCTTTTTGCAAAGCGCTAAAAAGTTCGCGGTCACAACAGTGCAGAGCGATATAGATCCTCCTCTCGAGTTTTGCCTCTCCGTTCCTTATATCTTTTGTTTTCCTCACAAAGAGAAGTGAACTTTTTGAGTTTTCGTTCAAAGCCGCTGGCCGGATTTTTTCCTTTGTTGTTACCAAAGTGGCGGCTCCCGAACTTTCCGTTCTCGTGTTAAAACGACAGATTTTTCTACAGGCGCGTGACGGAGCGCGGGCCCTCAACCTGCATTTATTTCAGTTCGGCTCCACTTTAGAGCACCGAAGAAACCCCCCCGGGTCCTTCCCGGTCCCCTCACAACGCCACAGCTCTACTCTCCGTTCAGTGCTGCGGACTTCGTTCCGCTCAGTCTCTCCCTACGCACAGCTCTGCTCGCACCCCGCGCTGTCCCAGCACAATTGAGCGCTGTCCCCGCGGAGCTCCATCCCCTCCCTGCCGGTTCGGGCCGTTCTGTCTGCCCGGGGTAACGCCGCCGCCTCCATAGCCTCGGGCAGTCCCTGCCCGCGGGGCCGTGCGGTCTCTCTGGGAGGTCCGTGTGGGGCAGGGGCACTCCGGGCTCCGCCGCCGCACAGCTCCCGCTCGCCCCGTGTGCTCTGAAGCAGGTGACGACGCCGGACGTGGAGAAAAAAATCGAGGAGTACAAGCGGGAGAACGCGGGGATGTTCAGCTGGGAGATCCGCGACAGGCTGCTCAAGGACGGCGTCTGCGACCGCAACACCGTGCCCTCAGGTAGGGGCACTGCGGGATGCTCCGTGCCGGGGGAACGGGGCCCGTGGCGGCCGCGCCGGGAGCCGGGGACGCTTCGCAAAGGGTTCAATTACGCTACGAGCGGAGGGTACCGGCGGGAGGGGGCGGCGGGACCGAGTCCGGGCGGTGTCGGGGGGCTCCCGTCACCTCGGGGGGGGGAATTGCGCGGGGCGGTGCCAACCCCGCGGGAGGACAGCGAGGCCTCCGACGGCAGCGGCCGGAAGCAGGGCTCGGCCCGGAGGAGCGGCGGTCACAGATCCGCACTCCTCCCGAAGTGAGCTCCATCAGCCGCATCCTGCGGAGCAAGTTTGGGAAAGGCGAGGAGGAGGAGGCCGAGCTGGAGAGGAAGGAGGCGGAGGAAGGAGACAAGAAGGCGAAGCACAGCATCGACGGCATCCTCAGCGAGAGAGGTAATGCCCGCACCCGGGAACTGCGGCGGGAGATGGGGGGGTGCTCGGCGGGGAGGCCGGGCCGGGACCGGGAAACGCGCGAGGGGCGGTCGGGCCGCCGGGGGAAGCCTCTGTGCCGCGGGGCCTCAATCGGGGGGACCGCCTTCAGCCTGGCGGCCGCGGTCACACAGTGCGGTGCTTCTCTAAAGTAAAGGCTGCGGAAAGTTTGTGCTGTGTTGACGTGTGCTGGGCCGGGCCGGGCCGGGGGCTGCGGGACACTGCTGGGCCGGCTTCTTCGGGGCTGCCGGAGGGGCGGCCGGGTCGGGCCGGGCTAGGGCTGGAAGTGGCGGCCCGGCACAGGCACGGCGCTGGGGAAGGCGAGACAAAAGTACCAAATGAGCTGGTCAAACATTTGTACAACTTCTGCAGCTTTTACAAAGAAGGCCTTCTATACACAATCTACACTTGGAGATGAACTTGGAAAACAAAGAGGGGAGAGTCCATTGAAACTCACACTTTGGCTTTGCGTAGACAAAGCTCCAGCTAGCAGCAGCTTGATGTGAACAAAGGAAGGCAACCTTTTTATAATTCAAGGAGAAAAGAAGAGAAAACAGCCCCACAAAAGGCTGAGAAAAGACATTATGGGCTTGCAATGAGGGATGAATTATTCAATGAGCCCCTAATAGCTGATGCTCCACACAGTTTTATGGACTCTCCACCGTGGAAAAAGTGCTGTTCGTATCTCCAGAATGTTTGTGGTAATTCCAGACATCTGGAGGTGCTGAGAACCGATCAGGAAGGACAGCAAAAAAACGTTTTATTTAAAGCAGGCTAAACCCTTGTATTGTAGCAACAAACCTGAGTGTGCTCCCCAAAGTTACTCTGTGGCTCTGTTCTTAAAACCCCATCTTGTGTCTGTGAGTGTGCGTGTAATGCACACACAGGAGGTGCTGACGGGAACTCTGTGAGGGCCAGAAGTGTCTGAGTGCCTCTCTGTGCCCCTATGTGCACGTGGCTGTTTTCCTGGTGCCTGCTCCGATGGAGAGCTGTGCTGAAGGAAGGAGGGGACTTGTGCCTGGGCTGCTTCTGCAGTCATGTACCTCTTTCCTGGCGTCCTGCTGGCATGTGTGCCCAGTTTTGATTCCTTTGCATTCAGTTAGTGGCAGGATTCTCTTGAACGCAATGGGCCGTACCACCCTGTGCTGTGTCTGTGTGTGCTTGTGGGCTGGGTACCAGTTTGGCAGAGAATGGCAATGGGAGGGAGGATCAGCTCCCTCCACAACCACTCCTGCTTACCCATATCATCCTGGTGCTTCATTTTGTTATGGCGTGGCCAGTGTGCTACAGCGAGAGTGCAGTTGATAGAGAGAACTTGTTACTGTGCTTGTGCCTTGCTCTTATGGGATGCTACAGGAAAACACAGCAGAGAGCTCATTGTGGGAGCAAAACAGCCCCAAAATGGGTTTGCCCCTCCTTGCAAAGTCATGAGAAAAGAGAAGTTCTGCTTCAACTCCCATTGCCAACAGAGGAGTGAAGGCTCCACTCTGCCCACACAAGCACCCGGCCCGGCACTTCTCATTGCGGTGGCTGCAGAGCCCCATGGCTGTGGTTCTGTGGTGGTGGTGGCTGTGTGCGGAGCTGGGTGACAGCACTGCATCCACAGGATGGTGTGGGACAATCCAGCAAGGTACTCGGAGCTGTGTGCCCTCAGCAGCAGTGTGCAATGCTGCGGGGTGGGGAGAGTGCAGTGTGCTAGGGTGCTCTGTGAGCTGGGCTGTGCCTGTGGCTGGAGTGGCACAGGGGCTGTGGGGCATGACAACGCAGGTGTTGGCTTGGCTGGAAGAAAATGAAGCAGAGTTGGGCTGACTTTAAAGGCTGCTGATTCCCTGTATAGGATTTGAGGCGTTCTTGTAGCAGTGGAATCAGACAGAAGAGAAAAACAGCCTTTTAGATAACATGCTCTTTGCAGGCACTTAACCCCGCTCTCTCGTACCCCTGGCAGATGCCACACATGCTGCACTGCTGCTCTGCTGCTGATGCTGTCCTCTGCCCTGGTCTGGGGCATAGATTTGGAACACAACCTGGCTGCCACGGCACCTATCTGCCCGATAGTGGCTCTTTCACAGCCTATCTGTTTTTCCTGTGGACAAGATGCATTTTTCTTAACCGCCCAAACCGTAAAGACAGCACATGAAGGAGAAACCTCAGCGCCTTTATATGGCACAGGGGGCCTATTTTTAGAACGAGGGCTGCGGGGAGGGAGCGCCCGGAGCTCGCATCCCACGGCCGCTATGTGCCCGCTGCTGGGAGCGCCGCGCCGGGCCCGGCCTCAAAGGGGCTCTGTTCGCGGCCGGAATTGGCCCCCGGGCCCCGTCCCGCGGATCCTCCCCCAGTCATGCGCCCGCAGAAAGGGCCCTACTCATCCCCAGCGCTGCTCCGGGAGCGATTCAGGCTGCAGCAGGCTAAATTGACTTCTTTCTTTCCTTCCACTTTCATCTCGCACCAAACCCTCCCCCCTCGCCCTCCCCTTCCTCTTTTCTTTTCTTTTCTTTTTTTTTTTTTTTTCTTCTCTGTGCCCGAGGCTCACATTAATACAATTTCGGCACCATCCCTATTTTTGTGTGTATGTGGGAAGCTTGGGGAGGTTAGGGGGGGCTAGAAAGGGCCTCAGCACAAAGCGCTGCTCAGCAGCTCAGCCGTTGCTCTGCTTCGCTGAGCGATGCTGTTCCTGTTTGTGAGTTTGGGGAAAAGCATTTCTGCTGTGCACTGTAATGGAATTAGAGGACAGATGCTGTCTGTGCGTGGGACACGCGACCACCGGCCCCAGCTTAAATATTTAGATGCAGTGTTACAATCAGCAGCTTGATCTGCGGGCTGTGACGCGGTGCCATGCGCTCCGGAGGGCACAGGGCTGGCGCGTGCTGTGAGGAGGGCTGCTCAGTGCCTGCTGCCCCTTGGGGTTAGTAATACTGCTACACTGCTATGGCAGCTGATGGAGGGAGGGACTGCCCTCTATCTCTGCCCTGTGGGGTGCTGCCCCCAGCCCCTGGTGCTCCTTGTCCTGACTGCATCCACTGAAGTGATGCCCAGCTGCACCTGCCCCCCCGATGTGGGGATCTGACCCGTGTTTGGGCACTTGACTGACTCAGAAATAGTTCCTAAAATGTTGGAGCAGAACTGCTGGGCACATCCTGCCACAGTTCTCTGAGCTCAGGCACCGAGAGTGAGGGCAAACCTTGCTGCAGCAAATATTGGGATCGCTTCCTATGTGTTTACCTGAGTTTGTACTTAAGCTTGCATCTGATTGGATTGCTCCAAAACTCTTAACTAATAGTTGGTTAAACTTAGTGTAATTCTGAAAGGACTGGGGTTAGAGTCTGAAGGGCTCGCTCCCGAACTGTGGTTTTTGTCCCTGGCTTTTGACTTTCCTGTGATTGCCAAATTGTGGCCATCAGCAGGAATGCATCCCAGCCGAGCTCAGGCTGTGAGGTGGGGTTTGGGGTGGCTGTGTGCACCCTGCGAGGTGTGAGGAGCCCCAGTGAAAGGGCCCATTCACATGTGCACGTTTCCATGGGCAGGGCAGGACTGGTGCCCAAATCCACCCCATTCTGCTCAGAGCCACTGTGCCAGGCTCAGGTTGTGCGTGTTGCACCGGCAGGGCTCGCTGAAGCAGGGATGTCAGCAGCTGCTTGTGCAGCGGTGGTGATGGCATCAGCAGACAGAGATTTTAATTAGATACAAAATTAATTAGAGATTAATGCTGAAATTAAAAGTTGCTGCTGATTAAATCCTTATGAGATTCTTTTGGGGGTCTAATTCCAAGTGGTACTCTTCTGTTATGTTAGGTCAAGCTGATGCTTTTATCTGACTTTCACTAGGGGAGGGTTCAGTTCTGATGGCTTTTGCGTTAGGTTCACTTATTGATAAGGGTTGAAACGAGAGGAGCCCATAAAGTTGATAGTGATAAATTATGGCGGGTCCCCAGGGCTGTGTAGTAAAACTGCGTTGGGAAATGGAGCAGAACTACAAAGTGCTCTCTGGTTAATTTAAGGAGAAATTGAGTGAAACGTGAAGCAGTAAATCACAGCGCTGTGCTCAGTGCGGATTTCTCCATGTAAATGTCACTTTAAATCCTATGTGACACACACGTGTGGCTACAGGCAGAGGAGAACATATAAATAAGGATGCAGGACCCGATTGCTGAGCTCTGGCTACTAAATGGGATCTGAGCTCAGCACAGACCCTGCTCTGCTCCCCTTCCCTGCAGTGCTCCTGCCCCATGCTGCTGTGGTAATTCACCTCCAGTCACTCCCCCTAGAAAATGAGCAAAACGTAATGAAATTAAAACTCACCGTGGGCGCATTAGGGCCACTGTGTGTCATGTGCTGAGATTGTTTGGTTGGCAGGGTTTGATGTGCTGCTGACAGCTCATTTGTTCACTGGTAAATAAAGGTTCGGAGCGATTAACAGTGTGCATATATAACGAGTGGGACAGTAAGAGGCAATTAAGCTGTCGGTGCAATGTCTTATCTCGCTGGTTGCCCTACAGTTGTTTTACAACCAGGAATTAAAATCTGAAAAGGTGATTTGCGGTGTCGCTGGCCAAATATTGATTAAGTGGTGTTTGCGATGCCATTGTCACAGACAGAAAGGGCACCGTTCTGCCCCGCGTGGTTCATCTCCCATTGTGAGCAAAGCTTAACCTCTGGGATCAAAGGGATTGTTGCAGTTTATCTGTTCTGGAAAATCCTTCTTTGCTCCTAAACTTGGATTAATGGCCAAGTTGTCTTTAATGACATGTGAAATTTGGATGGAGTCCTTATTCTGCATGGTCTGCTCGGTGTATGCACTGTACGCAGTTTTGTGCGAGGCTTTTCTTGAACACTGTTGGATTTGCATTTGTGTGAATCTGTTTTTAGTACAGAGTGCGCTGAAACTTTGCTAAAACAGAGGGTAAAACACACGGTACCTCCTTGAGTCTTAATGAAGCTGATTGGGTTGCATGTAATTTTTCGGGTGGA